GACCTCAAACTCTCTGCAAATACACCCACGCATCCCGGAGGTGGACTTGTTATTCTCTCTCCGGGATAAGGAGCGAAAATTGTTACCGAGGGAGGAATCCGAACCTGTTCTCTCAGCATCACAACATCGGCATCGGTAAGAATACTCGGTTCGCCGATGAAATCGATCACCGGATCAGGCCACTTCCTCACCGGTCTTCTCCAATGAGGCACCACGAGGTCGGTTGCGTTGTGTTCCACTACCAAGTCACCGTCTTCATCGTTTAACTGGATATTCAAATGTCTTACCAACGCCGGGTCCCACCGGTGGTATTCAAAGGCCAACTCGACCAATTCTGAATCATGGTAAATATCCAACGGAACCGACTCAGTACTCGATGAACTTGCCACCGCCTTTCCCTTCCCTTTCGACACCATTGCGTACTGACCAAACGAAAACACACAAGAAATAAACAGAGAATCGAAAATAGAACTCACCGAAAGATTTGCAGACACACAGTGAACAAGAAACGACTATCGAACTCAACAAAGTTTCCTCAAACAAGATTATCGGATGTGAAGGACTAAGAATAAAAGCGCAGGTGAAGAAAACTCGATCAAATGTCTCAAAACCCTATTTATAGTTGTCGATTTAACGACCGTTGAGTGCCTCAATTAGGGGCGCGTCGAACCGACGCGATCCCTAATCCTAACCGACGCCATCCCTGCGCTTGATAAGACACCTACCGTTACACGTGGCAACCTATTAAAGTCGACCGTTACCTCATTTAAGGCCATTACGGCGCGACCGTTCGGTCTAAACATCAAATGGCTGACTGTTACGACTGTTCGCTTTTTCTGTCACAACTGCCTGAAGATGTTTCGAAATTCACCAAGTGTCTTCACCCCGGCATACAGTCTACACTTCGGACAGATGATTCACTTCGGTTACATCGGTAGTCGGTTACATCGGTAGATAGACCAAAGATGACCCTCCGAAGACCATAGACCACATCCTACCGCCGACTTCTTATCGATCCAGGGTCTCTAAATACCTGGCATTGCAACATCAACGACCATCACTCCGTATGCCCATTGATGTTGGGGGCCTCTCTGTTATCATCCGAATCGGTAAACCTGCATCAAGAGATTCCAAATGACACATTAAAAGGCAGATAGTCATTGAACCGACGTAATTTCAAATACCACCCCGGTTCAGGCAACAAACCGGACCGAACTACCGAAGACCGAAGTGGTCAACGTCTACCGAGGTCAACGTCTACCGAGGTCAACATGGAACCGAGATCGTCACCTCCTTAAGCAGGTGACAAGGTGCCTACGAACAACCCTCCTGCTCCACAAGATCTATCATCATTTATGTGGGACCCCCTGCCTCAAACCGCCCACAAAAAGTAACTTTATTCGAAAAAGTAATGCCCAGATCCCAATGTATCAATCCGAAATTACTATAAATAGCGGGCCCATGACATTTGTACGGGGATCTCTCCGAACTGAAAAAACTTTACTAAGCAACACGTAAAAGCCCATTACGGCTCTTCACCTCGGTTCACCTCGGACCGAGGCCATTGTCGATTTAATCTTACATGCTTTACGTCCAAATCATTCAAAATTATTCACTTAATCACAAGTTACATCGTTGTTAAAAATCACATAACAACACACAGGGTGCACAATTTTAAGGTCATTTATAAGTACAGAGTCCGTGCGATGCACGGGGTGCACAATTTTCTAGTATGTATAATACAAATACATATTGTATGTACATGACAGAAGCACTAAATGAGTTATTTCCACAAAGATTGCCCGTTAAGTAACTTCTGAACACGGGTGCACAATTTATAGTACGTACTATAAAATCAGAACAGATTTCCATACATTAGATAATAAATTAAAAAATAAATAAAGCCTTTTTTATTTTAGAAAGATTTTACGTACTTTTTTTTTTTACTTATCGGATGTTATGAGATTTTTTTGTTAAACCGATTTTATGGGATATGATACAAATACAATTAGAGGATTGAACAAAATCAAAACAGATTTCTATACAATTAGATAATAAGAATGAATTAGATAAGGAAAAAAAGAAATTAGATAAAGAATTTTGAATCTACATTTTTTAGTATAGATAGGCTTTACGTACAAATTTTGACTTCACCGATTTTATGAGTTTTGTTTTGACAAAATCAAAGACGAACATTGAAGAATGTTTCTATTAACATTTACAATGTGTATTTAATGTTTTTTTTTTTGGAAAAATATTCTTTTTAAGTGTGATATATAAATATTAAAAACACATAAAATATTTTATAACATCTATAAAAGCATCTAAAATATTCTATATTATTCACAAATAATGTTTGAAGCTACCTAAATTTTTGTAAACTACTGTAAGGAAAATATGTCTAAAAATTA